ACTGTTAAGTCATTAGTGATCTTACTTGCATGTTAAAGCTGTATACAGTTTTGAACTGACTGATATTTGTTGAACACCAATGCTAACTGCTGGATTATGTAGTCTGCATTTACAATTAGAGTCAAATTAGCCCATGAAGTATTGGTATATCACACTTTAAAATAGGTTAGAATTATATCAAGATAAACATTAGACCGAACATCTTTAAAGTTATTAGATTGTATAGATGGAATTTTACCAATTAATAATATACCTCTATGTCTTTACTTTGTCGCTATCCATGTCTTTACAATGTTGCAATCCAGTTGTAGTTCAAACTTTTGCCATGTTTAACCTGCAATTGATATAGAGCATGAGGTACATAAATATTATAACAACTCTGCAGCCCTCTATATTATGCAATTGTGTTATCACTTGAGACAACAGGTATTAAAAAAATACCTCTATTCTACTATTTGAATTCAATCCATGCTTTGAGTTAAGCTCAAAGCTGCACAATAGAGCCAATTTCTGGGCTTTTTGACCTGTATTAAATAATAATAAGCATGAGTTAGAAAAATAGTAACACAAATGTGGTGTCCTATATAACTTATTCAGATTAATCAGACCACCAGTATGTACTTATCTCTTTAAGCTCTGCTGTTATTTGTTTTGGTACCAAATACTCCCTGTTAACTCCCAAACCTGCACAGTCAAAGACATATTGATGGTGCAGTTACTAATTGGAAGATTTGGACTATATAATCACACATATGGTGACAGGGATGGTGTGGGGTTTGTAATAAACTCTGTTAACAATCTAATATATTATGCAGCTTGGGGATTTTTGGGTGGCAGCAAGGATTGTATTCATTGATGACCCAGAGTGGTACTATGCTTCGTGTAGAACAAAGGGTTGCAACAAAAAACTGAAACTCAAAGGGAAGTGGCTATGGTGTAGTACATGTGACAGGAATTGGGGTGACGGGACACTCAGGTACAGAATTAAGGTGAGGGTTGTGGACTTGGATGGCAATGCTCCTTTTCTTCTATGGGACAGGGAGTGCATCGATCTACTTGGAATTAGCGCAGATGATCTGAAGGATACCCATACTAAGGTACAAAACTATAAGATGATTGAACCAGACAAGTTGTGTTTTTAAATTATATGCCATCAATATCAGTGAAAATCAACATCATATGGTATATAGGATCATTAAAATCTATACTAACTCTTTATGTAAGGAAGGAAGGGGCTGCCTAAGGAGCTCGAGACTCTCATTGGACTGAATCTCTTATTTAGAATTGTTGTTCGCAAAGAACAGTTCCAGAATTATCTCAATGCTTTCCATGTTATGAGGATCAACACTGATGAAAAGATTGTAGAGAAGCATGCACCCGAACTAATAGGAGTTAGGGACAGGGATCTCAGTTCAAAGTTGGAGTTGGAGCTTACAGATGAGGACCTATGGGATCTAGAGGTATACTTGGGGTTAAAGATTAACATGTTGTACCAATTACTGTATAATTTATTATTATTGGTTACTTATACAGTTTGAACTGCTGATTTTGTAGGAAGCAGACCAAGCAAATGAAGCTGAAAGTCCACTTCAAGTTGTTGCACAGAGACTGGATGCAGAGAATAGTATTGAGAATGGAACAGTCAAGAGATCACTAATCGATGAATTTTCAAGCACCCAAAGTTCAAAAAAAAACCAAGGAATGTGTGGTCAAGATTGAGAAGGAAGCAGATGTGTAATGACTTTAATGATTGACAATGTGCTCTATTGGTCTCTTTTTTGTAACAATGGATTTTATGTTGACATTTTCTTTCCTGCACTCAAACAGCTAGACTGAAACTTTCAATCATTTAGGATTATATTCCTAAATCATTGTTTTTTATGAATGCTCACAATTTGTTACTAGGTCCTGTTATGGGTACTGGATTTGTTATAGTCCCTTTGCAGATTTTTTTTTGCAGTGAGTGGTGCCACAATGAAGGAAAAAGTTTGCAGATATATGGTGAAATATCTCAAGAGATGGCTGACATGGCAGAACAGAATGAAGAATATGGCATAGATATCTCTAAATCAGTTGAAGATGAAGATAACATCTAGCAAACACACCATCAAACTGTATTTTTTTGAATGTACTACACAGTTGTAGGACTAATTGGTAGAGCCAGAACATTATGGTAGATTAATGTAATGTCATTTTTATATATTAAATTTTATTCTATCTTTTCTAAGCTCCAACTAATAATTCTAATCTTACATTTTCTATGCCTAATTATAAATTCACCTACATTAAAGACTAACAGCAAAGCAACTCATTGTCATCCAAAATTAACTCCACTAATAATGTAAACAGAATATCAGATTGTAATATTGTATATATAAACCATCAAAAGTAATTAGGTACTCTAACTTGAGAATTTTAATGTATGATTAAAACATTACAGTTGAAATCCTTGGTTGCTACTCAACACCTTTAGAAGTTTGATAAACTAAAAGTCATTAGAATATGTTTAAACCAAGGGCTTAAACTTATTTTGTTAATGAAAGTAGAAATTTGGAACCAAGTAGGCATGAATAGACCTGATTACGTACTTACCAGCCTCTGTCATCTTAAAGCTCACTTCAAAGTCCTTTTATGCTCACTTCCAAGTCCTTTATGCAACATTTGCTTGATACCATCCTAACTGCACTTTAAACAACAAGTTATTGATTAAAAATAGTACTGGCAGCCACATCATAGTCAAATTCTAATAAATGGATTTATAGCGGAAAGATAGTTATGGACTTAGTGCTGATTAGTGAATTACCATTTGATTTCACCAACTTTGTTATTAGGAAGCCTCCTAAATTAATGTTAGGTGATAACGTTGCTGTAGCCGCTTACCTGCAGTTGCCAAAATTGGAATTAGCTGTGTAACTCATTATAAACACTGTCTAATTTATGAACACACAGAAGGAGCTAATTTTTGGTAATCACATAATATTCAACATTTGTAAGTCTATTAAAACTTATCTCTGAGCCTTGCGTAGTAACTGTTCATACGATAGTCTTGACAGCCTCTTTCTTATATAGAGGGCTACTCAAACACCTATAGTGTAGAACGGATTGTTGTCAGCTTCCCTGCAATTGGAGAATTTCAATTAACTGTATTAAAATCATATAAACATCATCTAATGTACGAAAAGATAGAGAATATTATAATCAACGTAAGGCACATTAGATTAAACCAATTTTATAAATGTAAAACTTATCTTAGATCCAAGCGTAGCAACCTCTTTAGTACAATTCCCATTATGTGCTAAAAACAGATCGCAACATCTATTTATTCTGTGCTCTATTCAACTCAGGTGCATCCAGTTAATAGTTGCTTTTGATGTCAAACCCAAAGCAACTTATTTGCATCCAAATTTAACTCTCTTAATTTGGATGAGCACACTGATTGTTACCTGGAAAACAACATATATTTGATAAATAAGAAACATTATTAGAATCTAAGCAAAGTTCAGAAATCCAGTTTAGTATGAAAAAGCAAGTAGTAATAATATCAATTAGCTAATATATTAATGGCACATTGCATTAAGTAGCTGATCAAAACCTTTTAGTATTCCAAAATCAATTATAATTGACATTTTCCAATGTTGTCTGCAAATATTAATTGACTAATTTACACCTATATATTCAACAATCAGATATTATAAACCTCTGTTAAGCACCACACCTACACAAATCCATAACTTTGCAATTCATCTCCCCTAGAATACATGAGGAAACTTACATCTTCAACCACCATTGGTTCGAAGCGCAAGCATCCCAGCAACAACCAAGGTAAATCTACTGACTTCTATCTTTGTTATACTATTATGTCTTAGTTTATACAACTATTATACGATTTTTTGAAACTCTACTAAAAATATTAAAAACGATCTGGAAACTTATAACAGTTAGGGTTAGAACTCAATACCCACTTTTTCTTCATCCCAACATGTTCGGTCTAATATTAGAATAGCTTCTAAAAGAAATATGCAAACAACAAAATGAAAGAAAAAATAAAAAAATCTGGCTTTACAACTTTGAATCCACCAAGATAATGCAGATACTAACATTAGAATCCAATTTTTTTCTCAAAATCCAGATGCATGTGATTTCCAATGAAGGATTTCATCAGATCTACACTTTAATGGGACTTAGTAGTTAAACAAACCCTTAACAGTTAGGGTTCACCGTATCTACTCAATTTGTTAAGAAGTTTTTGATAGAAATGGAATTAACTGAGAGATATGCTAGATAACTTAACGGAATAGAAAATTCATCTAAGAAATTGAAATAGTTACCTCTAGAATGTACAGATCGCAACGGCCTGGGGGTGGTAGAAATTAAAAATTGTTATCCATACGAACATCAGCTCTGAGATATTAACGTAAAGCCATAGCATCATCTCATGATTTTGCTAAAATTCGTGCTAAGAGTTTCTGGAGATGTGGTTCAACCAACTCCAGAGTGAAGAAGAGCATGTCTACTAGCTACGGAAATGGAGAGTGAGTGAACATTCTCGAAATGAAGCAGATGTTGAAACAATCTCAGCCGTAGGTGTGGGCATTAGGTTAGGGTATTTGTGTAATTTTTCCCAACAAGCAATACTAATTATATATTAGTTGTGTGTTAGTATCATCTCATGAGTTAGTAGTATTATTATTATTACTCTTAATATTATTATTATTAATATTATTAAGTATAGTTAACACAGCCCAAAAATTGGTAACTTTGTAATTATTATTATTACTATTAAAAATATTAATATTATTTTTAATATTACTAACATTTTTATAATAAACGTTCTTATATTAATTTGTTATGATTGCGATTTGTTACCATCAAATGTTTATAACACTACACATTTAAAGGTTTTTTGTACTAATAAAAGTATTATATTATTATTAGTAATAAGCCCATGATATTATATTATATAATATTTACATATATAATATTGATATAATAAAATTGTATTATTGTGAAATTGTAAAGTATTAATATTAGTTTAGAATTAACTCTAATATTATGATTAAAGTAAACTCATCATTTACACACTATCATGCAATAAGTAAAATATGATTCGGTATGAATCCAAAAAATTGAGATACCAAACATATCATGTATAGTTATATCATTGTTTTTTTGTTTACAGAGAATGAAAATCGTACTGTCATTGATGAATCGTACATGTTGTCCATTGAATTCAGCAACAATACACACAATCGTACACCCCTACGTGGTGTTTTCCAAAGTTCGTTAAGTACGCCTTTAAGTATTGTGACAAATGGTAAGTGTGTTCTATATGATAGTGCAATTATATAATTAATTGTTGTTAACATATGTTGGTTGTGAAATTCACAGCTTCAACCGCAATTCGGACGACAATTCGTAATTCCCCTTTGCAAGATTTGGGTAGCAGAATACCATTAAGCAACATATCCAACAGTACGAACCTAAACAAACATTTTTAACGTACCATATTTTTAAAAATGTGATAATTAACATCCTAACAAGTGTTTTGTACGGCTCTTATATAATTAAAGGAAATTCTGCTCGAGTTGACGGTGATCGTGAAAAAGCATCTATTACCAAGCGCCACAATCATTCGTTCGACTTAAATAGAACCCCAGATTCACAGCTAGGTATAAATTTAGAATCCATTGATGCATTTTTTCCGAATTAAGAACCCTGTAGTCATTTACATTTTCTAATGATTAATAATAATCGTTGTTGTTGCAATGCACAGTTTCTTCTCCGTTACGGATGACCATACGTACTACACCACCGCAAGAATTGAGTTGCAGAATGCCATTTAGCAACATATCAAATGGTATGAAGTTCAACAAATATATTGTAATAAGATTACTAATGAATTATATATATAGTCAAATTGAATAGTTATTAACATATCTTTTTTATTAAAGCAAATTGCGGTCAAGTCAATGTGGTCGCCGGCAATCCGCCTCCATCTAACCGTCAAAGTTACTGCTTTGACTTAAATCTATCACCAGAGTCGCAGATCGGTATAAATATATATTCAAGAAGATGTTTTTAATTGTCACACAGTTATAATGCTTAAATTAATATTTAACCAAATTAATTATAATGGGATATTGTTCTTTTAGGGATGGACAGTAATTGTTGCATTACAAATGACAATAATATGCAAACAGCCCTGGTAGAGCCGGATAGTGAAACCATCCCGAATTACCGAAATTTGATGACAGATTTTCAGGAAGTTGTTGAACCGTTACATGACAATATGCCCTCAATTAATGGTGAGTTCATATGAAATGTGTTAGAAGAAAAATGTATTATCCATGGACTACACTAAAATACATTATCATGCTAACTAATATAATTTTTTTTTTTAGATTATTATCTTGATCTTGGTGATCCAGAGTATCTTTGCGAGCATTGTAATTCATTTTTTTGGTACAATGAACGGTCAAGCAATTCAAAGTCACGTGAAAGTCCAAAATACTCTGCGTGTTGCGTCAATGGTAAAATAAAGTTGCCATTTATGACAAAGCCTCCTCAAAAGCTATATGAGCTATTCTTTACATCAAACGAAAAAAACAGCTGTTTTTTAAAGAATATAAGGTCATATAACAGCATGTTCTGCTTTACGTCGATGGGTGGAAAAATTGACAGAACTATTAACAACGGAACATCGCCTCCTATATTTCGTATAAATGGTCAAAATTTTCATAAGCTTATTACCTTCAGATGACATTCAACCGAAATTTGCCCAATTATACATTCACGATACAGAGAATGAGATAGACAATCGCTTAAACTCTGTGAGGTATACTCTTTTGTGTTACTGCAAATTTTTTGGTATATCGTGGGTTAATACAGAGAATCTTATATTATATATTCTTCTTTGTTTAGGGCCGAAAACAATGGGTCTGCATTGCATAGTGAGGTAGTACATGACATTAAGCAAGTGCTAGATGAACACAATGTGTTGGTTAAGTCATTCCGAATGGCCAAGTCGTTTCTGGAGTCTAATCCTCAACGTCAAATTAGAATGAGATTAATAGGAAAGAGGACTAAAGATGCCAGG